TTTATCTGGACCCTTAGTCCATTTATAATTTTCTAAGATCAAAATCTTATTTAGCTTTTTGTTGTTTATTTCAGATTCTTTAAATTCTTACACTTACAATTAAAATTTTCTTTCATTCAGGACTGAAGGCAGACTCACTTGGTATTTTTGAACTTCTTGTTCCAAACGTCTCTAATAGCTTAGTAGTAGTTAATGACCAATTTCTAAAACTGATTAGAAAGTGAGGTTTGCAAACTTGGTGTCCTTTAAAAGTCTCCACAGAGAAAATCTCCATGCTGGCTTACCGAGTGGCTAAATGCATTGCATGGTAAGGAGAGATTTGTCAGCCTGTAGTCCAGACTAAGAAATCAATGCCATATCAATGCCACTACAAGACTACTTTTACTGGAACAGCTATAGTAACAGAATCTTGCAAGTCTAAATATGTTTTCCCCTGCCTCCCTTTATCTTCATGTGATCTAGGGAGGGGCTTGTCTGAGACATTTTCTCAAGTTATTTTCTTGGCCTGGGCTCAAGCCCCTCTTACCTGATTGTTGCCTTGGTAGCAGCTCTTCCTCCTGTCCTTCAAGGCCATTCCCTATTCCCTCTACAAGGTTATGACTGTATGTGGCCACTGAGTTACAAATAACCAGATCTAGAAACATTGTGTAAAGTTTCAAGTCTGTTGTGAAGATTAGGGAAATAATAATAGGGAAGCACTTTGCTTCTTAATGGCGCAAATACCAGTGGCTCTGCTGAAGGAGTTTATCTTCATATCAAGCTTCATCTATATATGTTTTCTGTGTTTTGGCTAGATTTGCCATTTTGTTCTTTATTTTTTAGTTGTCCTCTGTTTAGCTTGTTTTTTTTGTTTCTTTCCTTAGTCATATTGTATTTTATTTTGTTTGTTATGTTGTGAGCCGCCCAGCATCATTCTTGAGTTAGGCAATACTTGAATTGGATAAATAAATTAAATCTAGATAGAACAGATGTTACAGAGCCATCACTAGTGAAATTCTATGCTTCTGTTATAATTTTTTTTGTCCAGTTATGTGCCGTCCTTGTGATAACATGGAGCTTCTCATGGCCATTTGCAGCAGTGATTTTGGTAAGTAAAAATAATTTTTGAGATAGCTGACAACCTTGCTGATTGTCTTGCTTTCTTGGTGACTGATGTTTAAGTAGGATAAGTGATTTACATATATTAAGAAACTGTTCTAGTGTTCCAAAATGAACGTTTTTCTTGAGCAAAGTTAATATTGATCACATGCCTCACTGAGATGCATTCCTACAAACAGAACCAGATAACACTATCACTTCTTGTAACACCAAAAACTAGAATAATTTGGAGCTCTTCCAGAGAGGCAGTAAGGAGTCTGGTGGCTCTATGAAGACTAAGAAATGTATCTTTGCATAAGCTTTTTTAAAAAAAACAAAGTTTTAAATTTATTTATTTTTATTCAATTTATATTACTTTTGGGGCTCACAGTCCACAAGATGCCACATCTTGGGCTTTTGAACATATAACTACTCCAGCCACTGAACAACTCTGTACTTGTTTAGTCATATACCTCTAAAATTGGGATCTGATCCATCTCGGGATCACAAAATCATGACTTTTTTGCTGTATTTTATGTAAGGCATTGCTGCTAGGGAAAGAGCAGAGCCAGGAAGAAAATATTAGTGAGAGGAGAAGGAAGGAAGGGAGGGAGGGAGACAGAAGTAACACAAATGTTTAAAAGTAGATTGCATTTTCAGGGCTCAAAGAGGAAGAGTGGTTTATAAATGAAATTAATAAAGACAATTAAGGAATAATAATGAAACATTGGTGGGTTGGCTGTTGCTTAGTGGCAGAGCCTAGGCTTTGCATGTAGATGATTCCTCACATTTAATCCATCTCTGCTCCCCCCCCCCCTTTTTCTAAGAATCAGAAAAGAAATTCTGCTTCACAGTCAGAAGAGATACTTGCTGATCAGAACAATACTCTATTGCAGTTTCCTGAACGCAGCATATTCTGAACGCCAGTACTTGGCATTCCTCTGCTAAAGTTGCTTGATCATTTCCTTTCTTCTCTTACTTCCTTGTAGAGGTCATCAAGCCCTCTGGTTTTGCTCGATGAAGTTATTATTGGGTCCCAAGCAAGGCATGCTCCTTCTTTGCACCATGCAAACACAAAATCTGGGGAGACAGATGTGGTGTTGAAGAGCACACAATGAGGGGCTTTGATATTGAGACCAACAACAGACCAGAAAAAATAGCTCTTTGAACTGACTCTATTTATGGGTTGCTGTCCCTGTCCTGAGTTCACCAATTGCCATCATCAGATTTTTCGGGGGATTAGAGAAAATAGCTCCTAATGAAAGCGTTAATGACCCCCAAAGTGAGCTGGAGCTTTATGGTTCTTAAGGCAGAGGTGCTCTGTCACTTGTTCTTAAGTCAGAGATGCTCTGGGCTGGACAGGAGTATCTTGGAGCATGAGGAATAAGGGCCTTATAGCTGATCAACTGGCTTGAGTTTATCTGGGTAAAAAAAATGCTCATGGGGGTAGGGAGCAAGCGTAGCACAAAAGGAGACATCTGTTCTGCTAAAAGCCTAGCGTTCTCAGGAAATTGGATTAGCAAAGAAGGTTCCTGAAATCATGCTAAATACATTCTTTGTGTCTATGACATGAGGTAAATAATTATCCTTGAAAGGAAAGATTTAAATAATGCCTTGTTTTGCAAACAGATTCCATAATTGATTATTTGATTTTTGGAGCTGGAAATGGGAATCATCCTTTGAGAACTGCAGGCTTGGCAAAAAAATCTCCTGTCTTGTGTGTGTGTGTGTGTGTGTGTGTGTGTGTGTGTGTGAGAGAGAGAGGATCTAATATATTAACCAACACCTTCCCTCCTCCCTAC